ACAAATTCCACTTTTTGGGACAGATTATCTCCAAGATCAACCCAAATTAAAAAAATTAGAGGTTATCATTTGCTGGTTTTCCTTGTGAAAATAACGGTTCAAATACTACCAGGTGCACTGAATTTAGATCAAACAAAAGTTGATGTATTACATCCGACAAAACGATTCAGTAATTATTACTTTTATCTTTATTTTTCAAAGCGTGGCTAGTTATAGTGGCGATGTTTGGTGTTATTTGGGTGTGCAGCGATGGTTGGCATAATTGGTGTACCATATCAATCGTAAAACAAAAAAGAATTCTGTAATAAAAAGAAATTGCATTCTTTAGGAGTTAATCGAAGCACATTAAACCATGTAACCGCATCAGTTCACTTCAAATGCACTTAAGCGCTCTCGCTCATTTCATTTTCATTGAACTTCAAAGACATTTCAGATCGACAAATGTGGCTACAGAACGACAACTGGACTACTAAAATCCTTTAATGCGTCGATCAATTTTTAAAAATGACTTAAATTTTAAATTTACCGGAAATTCTGTTATAGCAACTGCATACAAATAAGGAAAACGGGCATCTCACTTTTCGATAAAAACCAATTTTGTTGTTTTATAAAATTTTGGAAAAAAAAACAGGCCAAAAATACCAATTTGAAGCACTTTTTGGAAAAATTTTACCTAACAATCGCGTTTTTTCGGCGCGCGCTACCCCTGAAAAATTATAGGGTCCTTCAGCCAAAAATGGATATCTCAAAATAGTACAAAGGGGGGACCCTTTAAGTCGGCAGGGGGTCGAAACCCTGAGGAAAGGGCGTAGCAGCCCCCCCCCCCCCTAAATCCGCCCCCGCTATAAAGTTTTAAGAGTTTGCTATGGGTTTTAAAACCGCATAAGCTAGTTGTAAATATCTAGGCCAACCATTGGACCAAGTTAAAATCCTCCCCTCCAAAATCGTTTGGAGGGAGGATAATAAGTTTGGTTCTCAATCCGAATTTTCAACCAATCAGAACAGAGCATTTTGTACGCAGCGCTTAGCAAATGTAGTTTAAATTGAACACAGGTGGGGGGGGGGGGGGGGGGTTGCAGGGTTTGGGTGTTCTCGGTTATATCCCCCTAAAGGACGAAAAATGAAAATAATTTTTTTTATATATAACAAAATTCGGACACATTTATTAGCAAATCCTATATATAATTATGGGACTGGTAAAAACAGAGCATTTTTACTTAATTTAGCCTCAAACTGACTTTTTTCGTTTTTTTTGCCGTTTTCTGGATATAAATATCATTAAAAAACGCCAAATGCTCTTTTAATTGTCATTTAATTCGCACATTTTGCATTTTTGTAGCTTGACTTACCGTTCGTGATATCAGCCATGCATTTATAATTAAAATCAGTGCAATTTCGTTATGAACATTTTTAACTTCAACTTTTATCATTCAGGGAGGTATAATCGAAAAATCCTCAGGGTTTTTAAAAATAATTCTATCTCAGAATCAAGTTTATATCCTCTCCCAAGATTACAAAAAAGTTGAATTTGTCTCTTAAGAAAAAGGCGAGGAGTAACAAATTGTAAAAAGACGGACATCAGCTCTGGATGCTTGAGAAATGTTTTGAGCGAATGAGAAGAAAGAAGACGCCTTTCTCTCATGCGTTAGATGATTTCACAGTCTTTTGACCTCAAAATTTGCTTTTGACCTCAAAATTTGTTATGAAATCATATTTTTAAGTGGGTTTATATTGAATGAAGTTTTCTGATTTTAATGAATTGATTAGTAAAATATGTTTTTGGGTAGCTTGTTAGAAGAAGTAGACAGCACTATAATTCATACGAAGAATCCAAAAGTGATATTATGCCTCAAAAAAGTTCAGAAAAATCAATATAATCAATTTTTATAGCTAGTAAAACTTGAAAAACAACCAGTTATTTGAAATAACAAAAATTTTTTAAATGAATCGATCTAATCATACTTTAATCCTCGATTAGTGAACGTTTAATTATGAATAATGAACCAAAAAAAAACGAAAATCATCTTTGCCAAAGATGATTTTCGTTTTCTTTTTCTGGTTCATTATTCATAATTAAACGTTCATTAATCGAGGATTAAAGTTCAGTTAGATCGATTAATTTGAAAACTTTTTGTTATTTTTTCAAATAACTGGTTGTTTTCAAGTTTTACTGGGAAGATGTTTTCTCTTTTCGTTATATTGAACGATTGAAAAAAAAAACGTTACAAGGACAACCTAGTATCAGTTTTTTTTTTTTCAGTTGAGACTTTGCGATTGCTTCGCAGGTTTTTTCCGATGTGCTCTTGTGAAAAAGCGGGGCTTTGACGGCAGACGGTGATCCAAAAAAAATTGCGGCTTGTTTTTTTGTAGTTTCGTTTTTGATGTTTTCCCGTCTTATAATGAAAGAACTATGCCATTTGTTTTTTTTTGTGCGCCGCTTTTTCTCTTGTGACGGGACTTTTTCATCTAAGTGCATAAGAGAGAAATAAAGAAGGCCATTGGTACAAATAAAATGGGAGTAGCTCACTTTTAAAAAAGCGTTTTTGAAGTTGATAGAAAAAATATGGCTCTGCTGACATATTTCATCATAACCAGAGCTAATAACAAAGGATGACTGCAAAATTTCTCCGTTCCATGAAATCAAATAACGGGCATGAAAAATCGTTACTAATTCAAAAAATGAAAAAAAAAATAAATAGATGCATTCAATCAAGATTTTATACAAATTTGATGTCTTAGCAACAATCGTCTTATTGTAATACAAAAAAGGGCATTTTTAAGGAGTTTGACAGATATGAACCCTCAAGAAAAGGCGTAGATCTAAAGTTTTTTCTAAGGGAGAGCGGCTAGTTTTGAATTATAAAACTCCGAAAGTTTAGTCGACCTTTTTTTAGGTCAACCCCATTGATTTTCTGAGCTCTCCCAAAAGACTCTGAAAAACTGAGTGAGGAATTCAGCACCCTCGCCCCCCCCCCATCAAAATGTCTGGCCTTTAACACCCCCGACCCCTCTCCGCCACGAAAAGGTCCTGTTGATACTGTTTACAACTGTTTCAATATTGATGATGGCCAATGTTTGTTAAAAGGTTCCTATTTTCCTAAGGCGCCCTCGGTGCCAGGGTAAACAAATTTCATACTTTGAGGGCGCTTAATTTGAAAACTCTCCAAAAAACGCAAATATTCCAAAACTTTTTTGCGAAAAGGGCCAAAAATACCCCATAAAAATTTAGGGTCAAAAATTCGACTTCGATTAGCAGAAACAGCTTCTCGCAACGAAGTAAAACAATCTGGAACGTTGAGTAACAAAATGCAAAACGAACTATGATAGCAAAAAGTGTATTATGTTGTTGCAGCTTAATAATATTTATTCTTTATTAAACGTGAAGGCCAACGCAGAAAAAGATGGGGACTTCTCCAGGGGTGGATTTAAGGGGGGGGGGGGGGGGGGGGGGTTTGGCGGACGCTTCTTCTTCAGGGAGTCGACCCCATGTCGACCCAAAGGGTCCCCCCTTTGTACTATTTTGAGATTTCCATTTTTGGCTGACTGACCCTAGAATTTTTATAAGGGCGGAAAAACGCGCCGAAAAAACGCGATTTTTTGGGGAGCGCGCGCCGAAAAAACGCGATTTTTTGGTAAAAATTTCTCAAAAATTGCCTAATAACGCCGTTTTTGACATTTTTTCAAATATTTGCCTGCGGTGCAGAAATATTGGTCAAAACGGGGTGCTCATAGGGATTTGGGATAGCTCAGAAAATCACTTTCGTCGATTTAAAAAAAAGTAGACAAAATTTTCGAAAATTTTTTGAAAATCCCCCCCCCTCGAGAAAACCCTAGATCCGCCCCTGGTATTCACCCTAATGACAAATAATACAAAAAATGCAACGATTTATATGGTGAGTGAAATTGACTGCAGATAAACAAAATTAGTGGAAATTTGCAGATTTAAAAAAGATGCCGTGTGTTCAGTCGCGTGCGCAGAAATATTTCTAGGGGCGATGTTTCGAAAAAATTCTGAAAATAACAGGCTAAAAATGACGTTAACAAGCAAATTTTTGAAATAACAGTCTAAATATGATGTTTTAAGCACCTTTAAAAATTTAAATAAAAGTTAGCGTTTTTTTCGGCGCGCTCCACAAACGGAGTTACATTGGTTGCCTCCTAGTATTTTTTGAGGTTGGACAGCGAAAAATGGATATCTTAATTAATACAAATTTCGAGGAAAGTTTTTCTGAGAAAAAGCAAAACTTCAAGCGATAAAATTGCGGAGGAGAAGGGTAGTTATCTGATTGAAATAAATAAGGACTTCAAAGTTAATTTTTTCTGCAAAGTTACTTTTTTGATACTAAAATTTTTTGAAAGGGATTGAACTATTTCAAATTCACCTCATGACTGCGCAATCAAAAGTAGAATAAATTGTTTGTACTTTATATTAAAAAGTTCGTTTTTGAATAAAAAATAGTTCTTTTAACCCAAAATTGAAGAGTTACTGAAAATTAGTACAAAGATTATTTGCTCTGTAACAAAATTAGTACTAAGATTATTTGCTCATGTAACAGAGCAAACTTTGCAATCAAAATTGCTCTGTTACATGTTTTGAAAAAAAACAACTTTTGGTGGGCTGCAGGGGATATTTAGATAACTATAAACCAAATCTACCCTTAAACTCGCATATTATTTAGTTTTGCGGATTTGAAACTATTTTCTGCATTTTGTCAACACAATTTTTAGTCAAAGTTATATAATCGAACAAATTCAGTTGTGAAATCCCACAATTTTGTTAGTCAGAGTTTCAAATCTGCA